GGGGGGGGCGTATACCGTGACAGCACCTCGGAAATACTGAGTCACAAGAGTGTGACAAAATATGTAATATAAAGAAGTAGAGGAAAAATGACGATAGTAAGGATTAGGAAAGAAAAAGCAGCAGCTCCCTGTTGAAGTTCAGACACAGTTATGAGAATGACATTGATGAATCAGCCCATTTACAATTACAATTCTACAGTGCATAAGAACATGGTTAATGTCCCCCCCCCCCTTTGGGAATGGCCTAAAAGACACTTCAGTCAGTTGCACCACCTCGGGCGTTAGACATAGGAATTAGGAATAAGAACAGAGGGAAAGTAGATAAGAAAGACGTACCACAGGCATCCTCCGACCATCCACCCTGAGCATCTGAGAATCAAAACTTGGGTCTTATAAATAAATAAGAAACTAAGGAAAAGCGTCACAAATACTAACTGGAATGTTTATTGGAACAACAATGAAATACATGTAGATGATAACAACCAAGAAGTGTAATATTAACCAATGAATTCCACGAATTTTCATAAAAAGAAAAAAGAATAAAAAGTAGAGATCTAATCATACACTCATCTGACCTTTGTCCTAGCTGGCAGAAAATATTGCACTTTGGGTCAGAATTGTCGGAAAGGGACACACCTGTGTTCCTTCCCCCTTTTCTGTACTATGTCAAATAATCTGCCTGCTTTTACTAACCTGTTAATATTATGCTGTTGTTAACCCTTTAGTGGATACTGCGTGCAACTTTTTGGGTTCTTAGAGGATGACTTACGCATGTTCACCATCATTTGTTTGCTCTTCTCCTTGCTGGAAGGTATCTCCCACCCCTCCCCTCCCATCTCTCTGTCTAAGTCGCTCTGTCTGCATGTCCCATCTCTCTTTCCCAACCCCTCTCTTTCTCTCTCCCTCTTTCTGTCGTCCCTCTTTCTCCCCCCCTCTCTCTCTCTCTCTTCCTCTCTCTCCCTCATTCTCTCTCTTCCTCTCTCTCCCACATTCTCTCTCGCCTCTCTCTCTCTCTCTCTCTCTCTCTCTCTCTCTCTCTAGCTCTCTTTCTCCCTCATCCCTCCTCTCCACTCGGCTCGCCCCCCCTCTCCATCTTGTTCTTACGGTATCATTTTCCCCTACAGAAGAACAAACACAAAAAGCACACAGGAAAATGCAAACAAAAGAACATGCACACATCACAAAGAAAAAAGTACCTGTTACTACATTTTAAAAAGCATAGTAAAAAACACATCAACACGATAAAGGTTCCGGTGAAAAGCAAAATAGACAGGCAGAAGTAACAGAGAGAAAACAAAGAAGTAGGATCAACCTCTACCCCTCAGTCACCCTCTGTCAGGCTCAGGAGAAGAAAAAAAAGATGTGCAAAGGAGTTTACTTCTGAACAATGGTGAAAGAATAAACAATTATGTTTATGATTAGCTTTAAAGTGTCCAAAGGAAGTCAGTTGGCCTTTCAATGTCCAATGTACACCACAAAGCATCTCAGCGTTAGCAAATCATTCGTAAATCTGTACCAACAACATGAATATCACGAACACGAAGATTATAAAGGGAATAGTTTACATTCAGACCTTCCAAACAAAAACCTAGTTTGCATACCACCAGGAAAAATAAGTCCCATAAACGTTCTTTTCAAAGCATTTTAAGCAAAAAAGAATTTTGTGAAAACTGCAGTTACCAGCAGAAACAAAGAGACGCCAACTTTACCGCCATGATTCAAGGCCTTAAGTGTGCATTCGATTCCCATTCTTTCTTGCTCGACGTCGGCAATCTTCTGGAACTCACCAGTCTCCTTGTGACAGACCGTCGCTTGTTGCCGACACACAATGAAAGTGTTGAGGTTTTCACACTTTTCATCCTTGGTGGGGTTTTCCTTCTCGAGTTGCGAATCAACATAGGTGTTAAGACAAATACTCTTAGCTTTCGAGCAATCGGTATCCGTGGCACTTGAAGCGAAAATATCAGCCACGTCGCAGGTAATATTGCTTTCTATGAGGCCCTTTGTGGTGGTCTGTTCCAGGATTCTGAGTTCGACGTCCGATTTACATTGCCCGCTAACGATACATTCTAAGCTCTCCTTTGTCTTATTACAAAAATCAGTATCGTTGGCTGAAGGAGAGAGAGTGTTACACTGGTTCGTAAACTGGTCACACTCTTTTCTTGTCACGATGGGCTGGATTCGTGGGTCGATACAATCAGCTCCTATTCTCAACTCCTCCTCCTGAAACTCTCTTGTAAGATTTGCTTTGAAATCAGCCCCACTGTCACATTGGCTAACAGCTCTCTGACAATCGAAGAAGGCAACCAAATTTTGACAGGACTTGGCTTCTTCAAGACTGGCTTCACTCATCATACTCTGATCAGCGTAGTCTTTCAAACAGTTGAAGAGCCCTTTCTCACAGTCTTCCGTGGGCTCTGGCAACAGTCGGTTCAGATCACATGTTGTGAAGTTGTTCTGTTCCATATACTGTTTAGCATCTAGGAAGAGGAGCCTGTCCTCTGTGAAAGAGAGACAGCTGGGGTCCGCCTGGAGGCACTGAGACACATTGTAGGCCAGGTCGCACACCGTCTGCGGATCCGTAGCACCTGTGGTGTTGAACTGTTCCCGGCACGCCCTTCTGGCGCTGTCGCACTCTTTTGGAGTCAGGCACAGACTCAAGGGGATACCTGAGAGAAGAAACAATCACAGGTTTCATAGGTAGTTTTTAAAAAGCAAACATAAATGTGCTGGCTCTCAAAAACACTTGAAAAAGAAAAAACAAACAAAATATTACCCCCCTCCCCCTAAAAAAAAAGGAAACCCAAACTGTCGACGTAAAAGAAAATACGATATAGAAAATGGAAGACTCTACCAGTCGCGCACTTCAATAAACACCCGTCCCCTATAAATAACTAAATAAACAAACAAATAAATAAATAAATATGTA